AAGTACTATATCCATAACTATTACCAACTGCCATTTTATGGTCACAGTGAGATGAACGTTATCGGAATGATATAGCAATAGTAGAGCTCCTTGTGAAAGAGTTTATCCAAGTAAGTACAGCCACCTTGCCTATATATGCCGCCAAGCAGTAATGTGAGCATTACTGCGATCCGGTTTAGAAGGGTAAGGGTGCTGGTGAAATTACAGGCAGATGAGACTTTCAACTTACATCTCAGGGTGACGGGCGCAGTGGCAGTGCCCCTAAGAGCTACGCGAGTTAAAGCTCTGAGTGGCACTGCAACTGTTATGAACAGGTGTGTGCGCACCACCAGGCGCACAACTTATTTATTCAGAAAATGTGTAATATGACAGTTTGCACCATGGCGTTACAGCAATTCATCAAACAACACGACTTAAAATAGAAATATAATATAGTTATCGAGTTCTTAGGTTTTTGCGATTGTTACACATAGGAAATGAAACTATTTTTCCGGATTTAAATGGCGTATATTTGTTTTTTCAAACAAACCGACGTTTTCGGCCCTTTACAGGTCCCAATTGAGTCAACCATGACCATGACCTTCGTCCCGTCATTTGATATCATATAAAAAAAAAGTTTTCCGTCAATCGCGCTAAGCATACGAAGAGACCTCCAAGAATAAGTGAAAATGCATTCTAAAAGCTCATGAATGAAATGAAGAACAAAAATTTTGGTTTGGACTTCATCTATACAGTTAATCTCTATCACCATTATGATACATTTTAAAATGGAGGGCATTGTTTTTCCACTACAACAGCTTTTGTGTAGTACAGGCAGCTTAGGTTTTGTATTTAAAGTTGTAAGAATAATAGAGTGTTGATGTCAAACAGACATCTAGGAGTTCTGGACAAAGCTTTGAAATTGAATACACGTATAAAGTTATAATTATGATATAATCGTCGTTTATATGTATTAAGTACCTCTCGCTACGCAAGCCCAAGCTACGTCTTATGCTATAAGTGGTGGAGGTCACCTTACAAGTCGTGTGCGATCGCCTTACGTGAAAATTCCAATGTGGAATAATTTTATATGATTTTAAGATAAATCTCCAAAGAGAGGTAATTTTGATTTATATTAGTTATTTTATTGTTTTATTTCTTGTGCAAGTGACAAGAGCAAGAAAGAATATGCATCGTATGGCGGCGCAAAAGTTTACGGGGTTGAATGACGTTGACAAATTTATAAATCAGTTTGAGGCGATCAGCGTATTGAATAATTGCCCAGATGGGCAAAAGGATACGTGTTAGCATTGTATCTGGAGGAGCCAGCTCTACAATGGAACAAAACTCATTTTTCCGCATACGCAACATATAGTATAATTGCACAAAGGCTTAAAGAGGAATTTCCCTCACAGATAGATTACGCCCGAGAGTTTTATTATTGGCGACAATTGCCTAACGAATCGCTGACAAGTTATTTTTATGGTTTAGATAAATTAGCGATGAAAGCGAAGATTCAAAATGTTCAGTTTATTAGACATTTCTTGAAGTTGTCAATTTCCAATTTTCAAAAAGTTTTTAATGGATGCTGGCTAGTAATTTGTATTTGTCGAAAGAGGAGTTGAGAAAAACAATTATGCAAGTAGAGGATATATTTAATCACGGTTACGATGTGGGTAGACAATATTTGGAATTGCCAGTATATTTTCATAAGGAGCACTCTCACTGTTGGCAAACACAGGGTGACTCTACACCGATAATTGGACCCGAGTCTAAACAGTCGGAATATCAAGTGCCACGGGCACAAATCGTGCAGCAGGATACGCCACGTCAAGCGTATTCACGGGCACATAGTAGTGGATCTTCGTCGGGATCTCCTCAGCGTGGATGTCAGCAAAGCGTGGCTGAACATTTAGGAAATTGGTATACAATTGGCAGTTTTAGTGTAGATAACATACATCTATTATATCTGTTTTTGTTAATAATGTAAGGTGCAAGGCGTTGGTGGATACTAGTGTTTCGGTTTCAATAATCTCTCGTTGTTTTGCAGAAAGGTTATATTTGCAGATTGATGATACTCCGAGTTTTCCATTGCGTACAGTGGGCGGAATGCCAATAAAAGTGCAGGCGTCCACCAAAGTGTCGTTGACAATTAATGGAAATAAATACCTACCGAGGTTGCTTGTTCAGCAAGGTGATGAGGAATTTCTTAACCTCGGTCAGGATATTTTAAAGGAATATAATTTCTAGTTGTCAAAATTGAAAATTGACAATAAAATTTCTTCTAAGTCCGTGACAGATATCGGGCCAAAGAAAGAAAAGTTTTCTATCGGGCCGATATCAAAGAGTTCGGATAACTTGGCGGTAAAAAACTCGGAATATATACATTCGGTTATCGGAAATATAGAAAAAAGTTTACGTAAGTGGTATGACGGGTCAATGGCGTCAAAAGGGTAATTCCTTAGAAAAAATTTGTAAATATGTTTTGCCGAAACTGCGTAGTTCGTATGAAAAGAAAATTACGCCGAGTTATATAAGTCGGAAAATGGTATTTTAAACGCAGTTGTGTAAGTGTTGCGGAAAATTTACGGGATAATTTTTGGAAACGAGCAGCCTTTATTGGTTCGCACAAAGAGCAGAAGTACACGGTCAGAACAGGAGCGGAATTTTCATAAAAAAGATGGAGTTGCTTTGTTGTCCAGGAGATATGATGATGTGCGAAAGTTAGGTTAACTAGATGTACTCCTAGTTTGGTAGACAGAACCTCTGGTAGGCAGGATCTGGTGCATGTGAATAGGTTGAAAAGGTTCTATAGTAGATAGTTTAATGATTTTCAGTTTCTAGCAGGTTTGTTAATCTTTTGTGTTTGTTTTTCATATGGAGCTATGGTGACGGTGTATTTTGGCGAATGTTTGATGAATTTTTTTTTTTTATTAAATTTTTATTGAATTGATATTCAATTATTATTATTTTTTTTTGTGAAATTACTCCACTAGTTTGTTATAATTATTAATACAAAGCTCGAACACTCAGAAAAAACACTCAGAAAAAATTCCTTCGATCCGGTCGGATTCGAACCGACGTCTTCTTGCATGCCGTGCCAGACGCTATACCAACTAAGCCACGGAACGAACCAACGGACCTCACGAATTTTTCTATGTGCTTGCGTCGTGTCTTTGTACTTGGTCTTTCAACGACTTTTTAGTCGTAGCGCCATCTATGAGAAATCTATTACAGATTTATCACCCAGTTAGTACCTTTACAGCTACCAGTCCTGGCGAGAGATGTCGCTATTCACTGTATTAATTAAATTTTTATTGAATTGATATTCAATTCTTTTTTTTGTGAAATTACTTCACTAGTTTGTTATAATTATTAATACAAAGATCTTTTATACAAAGATTTTTTTTTCCGGCGAATGCAGACATATAAGGACGGGAGGAGGAGATGGGCTACCGACTTGGACGAATATAACTTATTTTTCATTTTATGGATATATTATTCTATGTATGTGCATAGTTGTTGATCATTCGTCCAGATGAGCAGGAACTGTCTGCATTCAAGGGAAAATATATTTGTTTAATTAGTCGGAAACCTCAGTATGATATATTGCATATCATATTGGTGTTAGGAAATGTTGGTGTTAGGATAATTTCCGTATTGTTTTAATTTATTCAAAGAAAGTAAGAAAGTTTGGTGGAACGTGGTTAGCTGCAGGATGAGGACGGAGGCAGCTGGGAGATCAATATTGATGTTCCTCAGTGGTGGCCCGATGAGTGCTCAAGCCTGTGCGTCGTCGTAGCAGCGTGCACGTTGAAGATTGTTTAGTGACGCGTTTAAAAAGTTTTGGTATTGATGTTTAAAGATTTTTAGGATCATTCATCCAAGCTAGGGTTTTAAATGAAATAAAGTGTTAGGGTTTAGATAGGATACCTAAATAGCTAGGATAGCTAATAAATATATTTAGATTATTTGATAGGTTTTTGACAGATTAAAGCCGCAGCCTTCTCGGTAGTTTTGTTTTTTAGTAAGTGATAGCTTCCGAGCAATGTGTGGCTAGCCTATAGTAAAGGCTGATCACATATGTATGTTGCCTATCATAGGTAGGACACCAGCTAGGGATGTTCACCCCTTCAGTTGTAAGGAGGAGGGATGTAGTACAGGCAGCTTAGGTTTTGTATTTAGAATTGTAAGAATAATAGAGTGTTGATGTCAAACAGACATCTAGGAGTTCTGGACAAAGCTTTGAAATTGAATACACGTATAAAGTTACAATTATGATATAATCGTCGTTTATATTTATAAAGTACCTCTCGCTACGGAAGCCCAAGCTACGTCTCATGCTATAATAGTGTTTTCAGTGCATCTTCAATTTTTTTTCGCAGAATATTCTTGTAAATATTTATCAATACTTTTTTATGACCTAATAAAGCAATTGAATAAAGTGAACTTATAATTTGACTTAGAAATTTTGAAACTATTGTAAATTATACAAGAATAGACAATTATTCAATTTCAAGAGTTTATCAACAATTGACCGTGTCATGTTACTGACAAGGCGAATGATGCACTTATCGATTTTTTTCGGAATGCCTAACTTAATAATGAAAATCAATTAAATTTTTTTATTATCTTCCAATTATTTGTGAATAATTAATTTTTTACACCAATAAATGAAACCCGGCCGACCGGATCGAAGGAATTTTTTCTGAGTGTTTTTTCTGAGTGGTCGATCTTTGTATTAATAATTATAACAATAAATGAAAGTTTTGTACATTTCACAACCTATTAGTATAGGTACTAAATAAATTGGAGCAGCAGACCGCGTGAAACTGCAGCCTACGACAACACTACAACTAACATTGCGATTATTAAAAAATAGATTACGTTGGTTTGACGCTGCCTCACAATATCAAATTTAGAATATTGTCAGTAACATGATAAACATAATACCAGCTGATATGCTTTCATACAATTCTTTATCATTGTAAGGCGAGCGCGGTCAACGGTCAGTCCATTAAGTCTTCAATTTATCAATGATCTCGCTCGTACAACACTCAGTAACGCTCTCACCATGAAGCGAATCGCACTATTTCTTGCACTGGGATTTATTTTAATCAAGGCACAAAACTTAGAATATTTAGACCCTGTAAAACTGCAGACCAGAACAACACCACAAATACAACAAGAAGCTGCGTTGGAAACTATCGGAAAATTTACAAATAATAAAGATTTTGTGACAGTGGAAGTGATTCCTACATTATTCAAGGGAAGTAAAGATGCTTTCACGCTAAAAACGACTCAAGACCAACTACATATACGTGCAAGTTCCGGTCTAGCTGCTGTTTGGGGATTTCATCATTTTTTAAAGAAATACACTAACAGCCATGTAGGATGGCAAGTAACGAACATTAATATACCTACTCCACTACCTGAAGTTGAAGATTTGGTTATTTCAAATGACAGATTTAGATATTACCAGAATGTATGCACTGCGTCTTATAGTTTTGTTTGGTGGAACATTGATCAATGGATGGAGCATTTAAGATGGATGGCCTTGAACGGTATCAATTTGGCATTAGCTCCTGTAGCTCAGGAAGCGACTTGGGCGAAAATTTATCGTCAGCTCGGTATGACTGAAGACGAAATCAATCAACACTTCACTGGACCAGCATTTCTCTCATGGCTCAGAATGGGCAATTTCCATGGATGGGGAGGACCTCTGTTAAAATCTTGGCACGATAACCAGAAATATATTCAGGATTCTGTTATAGACTACATGTACAAACTTGGTATGATTCCTGTATTTCCAGCTTTCAATGGACACGTTCCACGGGCATTCGCTCGCATTTATCCCAATGTAACCTTCTATACAGTTGAACCTTGGAGCAAATTTAACAGTGATTACTGCTGTGGTCTTTTTGTGAATCCAACTGACCCTCTCTTTAAAAGATTAGGGAAAATGTTCTTGGCTGAAACAACAGCATTGCTACCCAGTCACATATATCACTCTGATCCTTTTAATGAAATAAGGGTTCAACCATGGTCGACGTCATTAGTAGAAAACACAGCAAAAGCAATTTTTTCTACAATGCTAGAATTTGATGCAAATGCGGTGTGGCTTTTACAAAACTGGATGTTTGTTTATGATTCTATTGCGTGGTCTTTGAAGAGGGTAAAAACTTTCCTTACAACTGTGCCAAATGGTCGATTACTAGTCTTGGACTTGCAGTCTGAACAATGGCCACAATATGATCTTTATCAGATGTACTACAATCAACCTTTCATATGGTGCATGTTGCATAACTTTGGAGGAACATTAGGAATGTTCGGTAACACACAAACTATTAACAATGATGTTTATGAAGTGAGATCACGAATGAACAGCACCATGATTGGCATAGGCCTTACACCAGAAGGCATAAATCAAAATTATGTAGTCTATGACTTGATGCTAGAGTCTGCTTGGCGGAAACAACCAGTACCTGATATGGAGGAATGGGTGGCCAAATATGCCGAAAGAAGATATGGTTGCAATGCTACATTTACAGCCTGGAAGTACTTACTTCGAAGTGTCTACAGCTTCAACGGCCTAAACCGCATGCGTGGTAAATATGTAGTTACAAGAAGACCTAGTTTTAAAATACATCCATGGGCTTGGTATAAGAGTAAAGATTTATTCAAAGCATTTGAGGAGTTTGTTTATGTTACGGATAACAATTGCTTGAATAGTGCAGGCTACGTTCATGATTTGGTAGACCTAACGAGACAAGCGCTACAGTACCGGGCTGAACAAATCTATACGAACTTAGTGCTTGACAGACTGTCAAATACTTGGGTCTTCAACGCAACTATAAACCAATTTCTAGACGCAATGTTTGATATGGAGAGAATATTGACAGCAAACGAACACTTCACTGCTGGCGGCTGGTTGGATGGAGCAAAGCGTTTGGCTAATAACGACGACGAGACATATTTATATCAATTGAATTCTAGAAATCAAATAACCCTCTGGGGTCCGAATGGAGAAATTTCTGATTATGCTTGCAAACAGTGGGCTGAATTATTCCATTATTATTACATTCCAAGATGGTCCATGTTTCTTAATGCTGCACTTGTTGCAAAAACGCGGAACGAAATTTTTGACGAGAAAAGAACGCAGAATATAATAAAAGCCACTGTAGAAAAGCAGTTCCAATTTGTTAACATTGATTCTTTGCCGAATTACGGTGATGCAAAGACATTGGCAGTTTCTTTGTTTCAGAAATGGTCTAATATTCCAGGTCTAGATGATCTACCCTTTAATATCATAACATCAGATTCTCCGAAAAGGACTACCTTGTCTGATGTTTCTGATGATGATGATAGAGAGATAATTGATACACCTACAGTCACATTACTGCATTCGACAACTCCTTTAGTTTAGAATTAAGTATCCTGTTGCATGATTTATTATAGTATATAATGTAAATAGAGACTGAATTCAATGTACTAATGTAATAAAATTATATCTTCCTGTATTTCATTTTTATTTTTAAATCATGTATTTTAGAAAAAGTTGGCTATTCTCCTTTTTATTTTATAATACCAAGTGACGGGACGAACAAGTTGCACGCCTGGTTGTTAGCAACACGCCTATCCATAACAGTTGCAATGCCACTCAGAACTTTATACGCAAAGATCTTATGGGTACTGCCACTGCACCCGTCACCCTGAGACATAAGTTGACAAGTCTCGTGTGCCTGTTATTTCACAAGCACCCTTACCCTTCTAAACCGGAACGCATTCAAGCTCACAGTATTTACCTGGACGAACTCTTTCACAAGGAGTTTTACTGATCTTAAAAATATTACTTACAAATCGTACATGAGAGACGTATAGTCACAGCACGCTAAGCTTTCTTTAAACAAGATTGTTATTTAATTCTACTTATTAGAACGATCGAAAGTTTTGAAAGTATATATCGAATGAAAATAAAATCGAATCGCTTCATTTGCAAGGGACATTGTGATCGAGGAGTAATAATAATAATCGATCGCAGTCGAGGGTATTTCTTGTGGACGTTACCATCCCGCATGACGAGGGTCTCGTGGAAGCCGAAACAGAGAAACGCCGGAAGTATCTCGACCTGGCGCACGATATCATGTGGGATGTGGCCTCCACTGAAATAATCCCAATTGTTATGTCCGCAAATGGGTTAATTCCAGGAGCCTTTGTAACAGCTTGTGGCGGTTGGATTTCTGTGGCGTGTCGCTTCCAGCCTCTAATGCAGAAGGCGATCCTGCTCGATACGGCACGTATTGTTCGCCGGTTCTTAAACCTGTGTCCCTGACCCTCGCCGACTGTGCCATTGTCGGGAAATACCGCCTCTCCCATTTAAAAGTTCAAAATTAATATTTTAGACCTTGGGAGAGGCGAGAGTCTAAAATAGATATAATAATAATAATAACACACACGCTCAACTTAGCCCCGCACTAGGGTAACCCCGTGTCGCGGGTGCCATGACCACACATGAAGACAACCACAAATTACACCCAGACTCTCGAGAGAAATAAATGTAGGCCATACGAATATTTCTCCCGGCCCGAGAATCACATTCGGGACCTCTGCGTGGCAGTCCGGCATGGTAACCGTTCGGCCACTAAGGCAGTTAGTAATAGTAGAGTAAGTACAACGTACAAATTGACGTCGAAGTCACATGATTAAATTAAATTATAAATATTTCATATGTTCTCAAATTAGGTAACTGAGATCATTCTGTATAGTAATAATCATGAAAACATAAAAATTGAGCCATTCTTGATATAAAAAAAGACCTCAAAAATTGTGAAATTACATCTATTTGCCAAGTCAAAGTCAAAGTGAAAGATTATTTATTCCATAGGTAAAATAAATTTATGACCTCCCTGAGAAGAACGAGCAAGAAACTCTAGGGATTGCTCTTT